ATTGTTGAATTATCTTTTAATTTTTCGGGGTGTTTGGACATGTTTTGGAACAAAAATTGTTTACCATCAGTCGACTCGCTTTAAATAAAACTACTTAGATGTGTATCTGCTCAAAGTCGACCAGTTTAGAAATATAACATTAAACAACAGTGGTTTTGATAAACTTGTAATATTTTTTCAACCAAATATTTACTTTTATATGTATAAGTGCAACATAATTTTATTTTTGAGATTTTTTATGATAAATATTAAACATATTTACACAGTTTCGACACAAATACAGCGATTTAAAATAGCAAACGGAGGTAATCAGTATATCTGGTAAAATATTTGATTATATTTAAATTTTTGTACAGATAATCAGACAAAGGCCATTTTCAAACCAAAAGCAAAACAAGTAGGGAAGCGCCATGTTCGGGTGTAACCTAACATTTCATACTCTTGCAACTTGCAAGGCTCAAAGTCGGCTAAATACAGGTTTTGGTAATGTTGTAATCGACAACATATTAACTTATTTTGAAAAGTTATAAAGGTCAATTTTATAAATATAAGCATTTACATTTATAAATATATAAATATAAATATTCACATATATGGAGTAAAGTCAGCCGGCCGTTTCGAAATCGTGAATATCAGTTATGTGGAGGCCAAAGCTCGCCGAATTTTATCCATTTTAAGCACACACTGTCATTAGAGAAATACGCTTTCTCAATTTCATTAAAATAACTCCCACATTGGCCGATATATGTGGTATAAAATCAACTGAAAGTTCGAAAATTCGTGTACCATGTTAGGCATATAGAGACTAAGACAAGTATTGACCCATTCAACCCATTTTTGACATAAGGGTTTATTATTATCAAAGAAACATTTTCGCCGAATTCCAGAAATATCTTTCTTAGATTGACCGAGATTTTCTACTAAAAGTCAGCCATTCGGTATGTGGGTTTGAACAGTTATAGTTCGATTTTGATGATTTTTAGACCCGCGATGGCATACCTCAAAGGCACTATTTGTGCAAAGTTGTATCCGAATATAGTCATTAGTGCTTTATTTGTGTACTGGAAAGAGAAATAATCAGATGGAATTTAAAGATGTTATGTATATAAGAAGTGGTCGTGGTTGTAGTTCGATTTCGCCCATTTTTTCACAGGAATATACGAATGTCATGGTAATGCAACCCACCAGTTTGGTTAATATCGGTGGAGCAGGTCCCGAGATATGTGTCTTCAGCTAAATGTGGGCAGTGCCACGCCAATCGATGCATTTAATTATTGATTTATCGCGTTTTAGTAGTTTTTAACAAAACCGTTATATGGTTAGAGCCCGGGGTTATAATCCGATTTCATCGTTTTTATACTGTCGATAGGGATGCTTAAGGAATTCGTCCTAATTTGGTTATTGTAGCTTAAGTGGTTTAGGATATATGTAAAAAAAGTTTAGCCCAAAGGTGGTACTTGCTAATGCGATCTCTCGTGCTACAGTTACAATTCAATATATTGGTTTAGTGTTTAGTTATATCACTTTATATGTTTTCGTTTAATGGCGTTTTATGGGCTACGAACTTTTCGAACTCGTCCTAATTTTTTTTATCACTCAAGTTACAGCTTGCACAGACAGACAGACAGTCTGACTCGGATTTCAATTCGTCTTGTCATCCTGATCATTTATACAAGTATATATATGTATATAACCCTTTATCTGACTCGATTATTTTTAGGTTACAAACAACCGTTAGGTGAACAAAATTATCATACTCTGTTTCAACATGTTGCAAGGGTATAAAAAGCAACCTCAAGGCTATTCTTTTGAACAAACAAGGTCATTAATTATTTGATCTTGATTTATATTGTCTTCTATCAACGAAGACGGCAGAAATGATAAGCAATTTTGTATGAGTCTAAAAAGTTTTAAATGCGTCAAATTTAATTTTTGAATAAAGAGATGTTTTTTGAAAAAATTAAATTGGTTATATATATGAAGATATATAAATATGTACAAATATATATAACAATTTCTAAAATTTCCATTTAACAACAGACGCTACATAAACGAAAACGCTTGGCGTTATCAGCGTTAGAGATTTTTCAACTCGCCAGCAATTTTAAAACTATTTAGGGTGGGAAACTACTTGGTGTTATAACAAAATTTTAATCCACTTCAACCGTATAAATACAACGATTTCTATTCGCTACTTGAGCACTCTCTATGTTTGAGCTCTCTTCTCTTTTCAAAAAATTCTCATGTGAAAGCCAGAAAGCATTGCATTTAATATGAGAGAGTATTTGATTAAGTGTTTTAGACTAGTTGTTTGTTCGATTCACTATGTTCCAAGTTGTGATATATTGAAGATAGCTAATATGAATTACTTTCAAATCTGCGGTAGTGTTTTATTTGAATCTACGAACTGTTAGTAAAGTACTCCTACGTGCACACGTGAGCAGATTTAAACACGTGACGAACTTTCGAAAATTGTGTAAATACCCTTAATATTACGATTGAATCTTTCGGCTGGTGGCGGAAATGCCAATTTTCAAATAAAAACATGCTAGACTATGAAATTATTTGTTATTTGCTTAGTAAAACATTGTTGTTATCACGCAACGTGAGGTCAAAATGCCTGATAACGCATTTTTTCATATATTTCGCTCGTGATCGGTTGATTCAAATTTGGTTGTGGTATTTCTGTTTTTTGAAAATGGTTTTAGAAATTTTTAAGCATCACGTTAGCACTTAAAATTCAGAACTGCTTATTTCGTTCATTAGTGAAGCTGAGGAAAATTATATAAATGTGTTTTATAAAAAAATTCGTATATTTTTTTTGGAAAAATAAAGAGACGTTTTTTAGAGTCACTGTTTTATAGGTATTATTTAATTAGTCGATTATTGCTACTAAAAAACTTAAAAAAAATATTTTTGAACATAAGAATTCATATTACAAAAAAAAAATGTTTTAATTTTTTTAAATTTAGTTTTTTGGTGGTAAAATTTTTTATAAAAATTTAAATTTATTTTTGAATATAAAATATTTTAACAATTTTATTTTTGAACATATAATTTCTAAATATTTTAAAGTTAAACATTGTTTTTTATTGGAAAAATAAAAAAATTAAGTTTTGCTTGAAACAATATTCAAGAAAATATTTATTTTTCATAAATAATTTTGTTCATCTTTTAATAGCATACTTTTTTTCGAAAGGCACGGTTTTAAAATATTTATAATTTTTTTTATATATCACAAACTATTTTTCTGAGAAGCAATGTTGTTAGTATTATATATTTTTCATGTATATTGTTTTTTTTTATTTGTATTATAAAGAAAATATTTTTTCTTATAGTCTATAATGCTTAGATTTTTTATTGAATTTTTCAAATTTTTTATTAAGGACTTTAATTTTGTACCTTTTAATTTTTAAATTTTTTATAACATTTTGTTTTGTTAATATATGTTTGTTTTATTGAAAAAATTTAGAATAAACTTTTTAATATAAATTTTTTTCATTTTTATTTAACTTGTATTATAAAAAATTAAATTTTTTAAAAGTCTTATTAAAAATTTTATTTTAAATTTAAAATGCTTTCTGTTTTTTTTTCAATTTTCTATTAAACTTTGTTGTAAATATAGTTTTTTTTTATTAAAAAAAATTTAGAACGTCATTCCAACATGTTATTTTTTAACACCATGACCCTTTTTTATTGTCTATCATATTTTCACACACTTAAACTAATACATATGCAGCAGCTATAATTTTTACCTTTCAATTTTCACAATTACTTTTAGTTATTTTTATTAAAAAATATTGTTACGCATTTATTAAATTTTTCCCAAAGTTAAAGTAGTTATTTGTTTTATGTTTTTTGTTAGCTTGCTTTATATTATTATTATCAATTATTTATTATTTACTATTATTTTTCATTATTTGCGCATAACTATATGCACAATTTCCATTTTATCACAGTTGAAATAATTTGCGTTATTCCCATGTGTACACAAACCGTTATTGTCATAATAGAATTACTAAAAATTAAACCTTTCGTCGTCAAAGCTGGATTTCGAATGTTTTCATTAGACGAAAAACGCAAAAATCGCTCTATTTGTAGAAAGCCGAACTAAACGTTTATTATCATCTAATTGTTTTCCGTATAAAACTGATAGTTCGTAAGATTTGATTAGACTATATGCATTTGTTGCTGTTAAATTCATTTAGGAATCAATAGTTTCATTTTCTTGCAAGACACAACCGCAGCGGCTTGGGAGAGATAAACGATTATGAGACCAAATTTGGACTCGTGCAATGCTCGCTATATATAGGCGCCTCTCCAAAACTAGAGATAATATATATTTACAATTTAAATAAGTAAACGCTTAGTATATGAAAGTAGCGCTGAAAGCGAACTCAAGCTTTAGGCGTATTTAAAAGCCTGCGCGCTAATCGCTAAGCCCAACCACGCCAATCGAAGATGCGCACAATTCAATTAGAAGAAAAGAACTGTCTCTCGCAGTTTGACGGTGTTACTGATAAGCACTGAGGAATACAGGAAAAACTCACAGAGAAATATGAAACGCGCAAAAATAGAAATTAGTATTCCGTTATGATATGCCTATATTTTGTTGAAGCGTTCATAATTTAAGTACGGTTCGAATTTTGAGGTTATCAGTGGGTAAGCATTTGTATAATATATTTCCATATATGTATAGATATATGGTATTTTGTGTGGCAGCTATTGGAGCGCACGCAAAAGCTTTTATCTACAGGATTGGTTTTAAGAGATTTTTACTTTCTATGCCTACAGCTCAAGGATTATATTATATAATATGAGCGTTACATTAGCTTTAAGATGATGACTATATAAGTGAAACTATAGAGCAGAGTGTTGTGTTTTTACTACTTTTACTTTTATTTTATTTTATTTTTACCGAAATATTCTTAAACAGTAAAAATTTTTTAGATTGAACGAAAACTTAAATTTTTTAAATATTTTCTTTTAACTTCTTACAGTGTAGGCATTTTCATCAACGACCGCTTCACTTGATCGACTTATGATTGTTGGTAGTATGAGTGTATATGTATATGTTAGGCAGACGGCGGTAGTATCAATGATTGTTGTTTTTCCACAAACTGATAGTGGAAAATTACAAAATGTTGACGGATGTAAGTGTTTGACGCGGCGTTCCATGGTCCATAGCAATGCAGAACAGCAAATCAGATCAGTAAGGAGTAACTCAGTCTTTAAAGGGATCAATAGCTTTTCGTTTAAAGAAAATGTATAAACAAGATTTGTTTGTCTACCTATCTGAGGTTGCGCTTGCAATGAAACCCTTAAATAACTATTAAAGATCATTAATAAAAACAAATAATTATATACTTGTACGTGGTATGTACACGATTAATATACCTCGCTGACCATCGTCGTCGTGTTGGTGGTAGCTCCCACCCAAAAAACTCCAATTTTATTCACAGCGGAATCGCCGGTACCTGCAAAACCGATGATAGGGATATAGGGATGCCCAACTTATTTCAGTGTGAGATAGTTTTTTTATAACATTTTCATTGTTTTACAATTTTTGTTAGTGATCATGAACAACTGCAACAAATCTCTCCGTTCACATATTGTTTTGGAAGAATTTCAATCTGCCCATCCCTTTTTTTCCAATTGCAAAACGACAAAACCTCCTTAGAACTCACCTCAACGGTCAAAGTTCATGTTTACGCTCTCACTTCCAATGGTATTAGTGTTGGGCATCTTTTTATCCCTGCCGATGAGTTTGCTAGGCACGGCACCCTTACTCTAATTTTATCCGATTGGAAGCGTGTTGGTTTTTCAATGCCCTCTTGCATTTTATTGCTGAACCTTTGGACTTTCAGTGAGCTCTTTCAGATTTCAGTGTGAATCACAAGAGGTCCTCTGAATTCTTGCTCTTAGCAAAGTCACTCTAGCCGCATTTGTAGGTGTTCTTACTGGACCCTGGTCCTACACTACAACCGAAGTTAAAGGAAATACTATATATGACTGGATCCTGTCCAATAGATTGACACGCGGTGTGGCGAAATATTTTGTCGAACGCTCTTTGAGAAATCTGTATGGAGTAAGACGAAGTGGAATCATCTTGTCAGTGACAAGCTGTCACTTTCTCGGCAAACCCATCGATGTGGGGTTAATATTACCTGCCTTAACAAATTTGTGGTAAGCTTCGTCCATTTGTAGGAGTTTGTGGGTAACACAAAGGACAAATATTTGCCCATGTGAGATTCATTGTTTAGGATGAATGTCCTTTCTACCTAATCTTACCTATCCTATCAATGTGATTTTTGCTGTTTAGGGTAAGTTATTCGATATTGAGCTTCAAATAGTTTGTTTAAGATTCTTGTTGGTAAGGCTAATATCGATCTCACCCCAAACCAAAGCTCTTCAATTCAAAATAAAGGTACTTTTTTCAATTTAGTATGGTTTGGCATTATATCATGGAAAGAAGTTTACAAATCGTTTAACTTTATTACGAAAATTCACATTCTGTAAAGACTGTGTTTCGCGCGCTTCGCTCAACTTATGGTCAACATAATCGGCCTACTGGGCGTACCATTCGCAACACCATCACCCATCTGGAGACCCAGCATTCATTGTTGGATAATATTTGACCGAATAGACCACGTCCAGCACATAGTGAAGAAAATATAGCAACCGTAGCTGATAGTGTACACGAAGACCTTGGAGAATTGATTCAGTGCTGTCCGCAGCAACTCGGACTGACGTATGTATTGACTTGGCGCATTTTACATCAAGATCTTAAATTGAAAGCGTACAAAATACGGTTTGTGCAAGAACTGAAACCGCTCGACTTTCCCAAGCGACATCGCTTCGCTTTATGGGCTCTTGAAAATTTCAAAGAAGATCCGACGATTATGAGCCAAATTTTGTTCAGCGATGATGCCCATTTCCGGCTCAATGGGCATCTAAACAAGCAAATTGCCGCATTTGGGACGAAGAACAACCTGAAGAGATTCTAGAGCTGCTATTTCATCTAGAAAAAAACAACGATTTGGTGCCGGTGAGAACGTAACCGTCAATGACGACCATTATCGCGCTATGATAACCGAATATTTGATGCCTGAAATTGAAGCTCGTGATCTCGGCGACGTTTGGTTTCAACAAGACGGTGCCATTTCCCACACATCGCATCAATCAATGGATTTATTGAGAGAACACTTTGATGAGCAGATAATTTCACGTTTTCGGCCGGTCGATTGGCCACATGGGCCGGTCGATTGTGCATCGTTAGACCTTTTCCTGGGGAGATATGTAAAGTCTAAAGCCTATGCGGGCAATCCCGATTCAGGTCTTGGAGCAAAACATCACACGTGTCATTCGCCAATTACCAGTCGAAATGTTCGAATGAGTCATCCAAAATTGGACTCAATGGATGGACCATCTGAGACGTAGCACGGCCAACATTTGAAATAGATAATCTTCAAAAAATAAATGCCAAAGAATGTACCTTCGAATGATGATAAACATTCCCTATTAAATTTGAATTTTCTGTAATTTTTTCTTTAAAAAAGTAGGGAACCTCGAAATAGATCAGCTTTGTTTGTGTAACTGTTTATCTTTTTAGAATGCATCCGATATTCAGGCTTCCAACTCCAAATACAAAGTAAAAAGAGTTGTTTTATATGGCTGGTGTTTAGAGTTTAGACCCACACAGGTCGATGAATGTATGTACTACAACATTAGTATACCTCAGTTATATAGTTAAAGTTAGTTTTGTCATAGCTTGGTTGTCGATAAACAGATTTGAAATACATAATTTAATATAGCTCCGTTATTTCACGTAACTAAAAAAGGTCGTTTTTGTTGTGAAAAGAAAATGGTTTAAAGAAAATAAAATGAATATTTCGCCCTTCTCTATGTCGAAGATTTGCCATAGTAGTGCTGGTGACTTGACTATCCCTACTAAATGAAAGGGGACTTTTAAGTTTTAAATGTTCTGGTTTATAGGATTCCAAATTGATCAAAGAGTTCGTAGTTATATGAACATGTAGTTATGTAGACATGTGGTCAAAGTAATTTGGAGAGTTGCTGCTGAAATAAGTAATGAAAATAGATATAGTTGATCTTATGAAATGAGCTTGGTTTTCGGAGAAATCAACGATTTTATATTAAGTGTTTTATAGTCGTAAACACTTTATTGAATTGATTCGCTACGTTTCGAATCGTATTAAGAAATCGGTCTGTCAATTGAAGCTCAAGAACCTCAAATCAGTGGTCTCTTCAGTCTTTCATGCCGAAAGTGTTGAATTACAGAAGGTGCCAAGTGGGTTTCTGTTCTAACCAGCAAGTCCATTAACCTTCTAGTGCAATACTAAGTCTCACTGCCTTAGGTTATGCCTGGAGACTATAACTAGGCTCTCAATCTCGGAAATTATTATCTGTGTACTCAGTCTTATAAGAATATTACGAAAAGCAAAAGCAGATAAGTTGCACTGCTCGGAGGCAGCCGGAAAACAGTTACCCTAAGCTGAGCCAGATCATCCAGCCTCCTCAAAGGTTGTTTGAAGCAGTGTATCCTAAAAGAACACCTCAGGTTTTGGATCACTAGCAACTTAAGCCAAAACGTGTTTACTTTTGGGAAAAAGGGAACTTAGTGACATTGTAGGTGTCATCACAGGCCAGCGTTCAGCCGGTTGAGACGAGATATATTCCACGGCTCCCAATGCTCCAACTTAAGAGACATTGGACAGCTTTTTGGTTTTATCAAATCTATTGAGTTCCTGGATAAGGTTTAAACAATGGTCCTGCGCCTCCCTTTTTCGACCAACCATTTACGTAATATGCAAAATCTAGAATTAACACACCTGTCATTGTAGACCGAAACATGCTTTCGTGAAACCCACTATGAAGATTTTATAATAGAAATACTAAAAGTTGCTAAAAGCGTATAATCAAAATTGTTAAGCGCATTTCACTTTAGTGTTTCGTTAGTATAAATGAAGATCTGCCATTGTTTGCTGTTATTGCTGATAACCTTTGTGGCTAAAATTTGCAAAGTTTCTCTGGTGACAAAACGACAACATTTGAAAATATAGTGGCATATGTGCCCACATACATAGGTATATGTCTATATGGTTACAAACGCATGTGAAGATCGTGAGAAATCGACGCGTAGAATGTCTACAATTCATTGTAATGTTATCGCTGCAAAACTTTTAAAGCTTCATAAGGCTTGAAAGGTATTAGCTGTCTCCGATTCGCCAAGCGACGAAGAAGATTGCGAATCGAACAAACTAGAATTGAACCAGGATTTTTTGACAAGAGAACAGCGCACAAAGATAGCGAGCCGAGAAATGTCGAATCGAAAAGACTGCTATTGTTATCATTCGCCTAAACAATCCTGCTTTCTGTTACAGGGTTAAAAACAAAAACAAATATAAACACCGAAAGTAATAGTAAATTTTTTTTAGAACCGGCCAAAATAAATTTATCTGGTTATTGTTTTTCTTTTAAACAAACGGATGTCAAATTAGGTTAGGCTTGATGAAATAATTTGAAAGGGAGTTCGATAACCTCTGGTAGATAGCTGCGCTAAGTTTTAGGATGTTCCGGGGACCTTACTCTGTTGACGTTATTTCAAAGAACTGTAAAGGCTTCGGATTAGTCCTTATTAGCAGAAAAGAATTTGTCGGTGTTGGTGGAACAATAAATACAATAGTAGCAGAATATGGGGCTTACAGTTGCTAATATGTAATGTTCTGTGTATTAACTGCGCCAATTTTCAGATTGTTTACGCAAACCCCGAGTGTGGAATATTTCGATACTTCTTAAATTCTTACAAAATATGAACAAATATATAAATAAATGTTAGCTATATTTACTTAAAATCAAATTTCCAAATAATATCTTGCCAATAATCTTAATGACCCCACAGATATGGAAGATTTTATGAGCCTAACTTTTATTTACGAAAGTTCTGTTCTATCAAAACAAGTGAAAGCGCGTACGTAAGAGTATTTAAAGTGCTAATGCGTATTAATAAGTTCATTCCCACTGATATACATACATATTTAGCGATATACTATATATGTCTGGTTTTTATAGCACTAAAAAAATATATATATAAAAAAGGAGGTTTGTTTCGAAACACATGTATGCTATGTATATGATCATATTTTTTTTTATACAAGTATTACTTGTATAACGGGTATTTTTTAAGACGTGTGGTTTTCAGTGAGGCAATACTTTTTCAGAATTGGGTTTTTTTTGACAGATGTTACTTAAATAAAGTCACACATTATTTGGCATTTCATAATTAAAGGACT